GCAGCAAGTGGTGTGAGTGAGGTGCAGTCACGAAAGAAGCAACGTGACGCGCCTGAGTCAAGTGTGAAAGTGTGCAAGGCCTCAGCTGAGGAAGGACCTGTGGCGGGAGACGCACGAGCACCTAAAGCTGCACCAGACTCACTAGCACCTAGTGCGGCAGCAGACTCACTAGCACCTAGTGCAGCAGCCTCAACAGAACTAGTGACACATCGCTGAGGAAACAACTCACTTAGCACCTGCGGGGAGAAGGTCTCTTGCTGACTCTGCTGCCGCCTCTGTGCAGTACATAGAAAACCAAAGCCCCCACCACCTGGACGGGCTCGCTGAAGAACCCACTCGCGAAGCTGCTGAGGGGTGGGGTCGTCCGGGAGAGGCAGTGACCGCCGCTGTCCACCCCTAGCTGCTGCAACTGCCGTGATAGTGGCCATGACAGGCAGTGACGGTCAGTAGTAGGTCCAGCACCTCCAGCACCAGCAACACCTCCAGCACTCCTAATCGCACCTCCAGCACCCCCAGCACCAGCAGCACTCCCAGCACTCCCAGCAGCACCTCCACCAGCAGCAGCAGTAGCAAGGAGCAGTGGCAGCAAGGAGCAGCAGCAGTAAGTAGCAGCAGCAGCAGGGAGCAGCAGCAGCAAGGAGCGTCAGCTGCAGTAAGTAGCAGCACTTAGTAGGAGAAGCAGAGCATGCAGCAGTGGCAGCAGCAGCAGAGCATGTAGCAGTGGTAGCAGCAGCATAGCATGCAGCAGTGGCAGCAGCACGCTGAGCAACATCAGCAAGGGCTGTAGTGGTAGCAGCAAGGGCTGTGGCGGCAGCAGCAAGGGCTGTAGCAGCAGCAGCAAGGGCTGTAGCGGCAGCAGCAAGGGCTGTAGCTGCACCAGCAAGGCTGTAGCAGCAGCAACAAGGGCTGTAGCTGCAGTAGCAGGGCTGTAGCTGCAGTAGAAGGGGCTGGGGCGGCAGCAGCAGGGGCTGTAGCGGCAGCAGCAAGGGCTGTAGCGGCAGCAGAAAGGGCTGTAGCAGCAGCAGCAAGGGCTGTAGCTGCAGCAGCAGGGCTGTAGCTGCAGTAGAAGGGGCTGGGGCTGCAGCAGCAGGGGCTGTAGCGGCAGCAGCAAGGGCTGTAGCAGCAGCAGCGAGGGCTGTAGCTGCACCAGCAGGGCTGTAGCTGCAGTAACAGGGGCTGGAGCGGCAGCAGCAGGGGCTGTAGCGGCAGCAGCAAGGGCTGTAGCGGCAGTAGCAAGGGCTGTAGCTGCACCAGCAGGGCTGTAGCTGCAGTAGAAGGGGCTGGGGCGGCAGCAGCAGGGGCTTTAGCTGCAGCAGCAAGGGCTGTAGTTGCACCAGTAGGTCTGTAGCTGCAGTAACAGGGGCTAGAGCGGCAGCAGCAGGGGCGCGATTCGAGTAGGAAAAACGGCCTGCCTAGGGGCGCGATTCAGGCAGGAAAAACGGCCAGCCTAGGGGCGCGATTTGGGCAGGAAAAACGGCCTGCCTAGGGGCGCGATTCGGGTAGGAAAAACGGCCTGCCTAGGGGCGCGATTCGGGCAGGAAAAACGGCCTGGGGCGCGATTCGGGTAGGAAAAACGGCCTGCCTAGGGGCGCGATTCAGGCAGGAAAAACGGCCAGCCTAGGGGCGCGATTCGGGCAGGAAAAACGGCCAGCCTAGGGGCGCGATTCGGACAGGAAAAACGGCCTGCCTAGGGGCGCGATTCGGGCAGGAAAAACGGCCTGCCTAGGGGCACGATTCGGGTAGGAAAAACGGCCTGTCTAGGGGCGCGATCCGGGCAGGAAAAACGGCCAGCCTAGGGGCGCGATTCGGGGCAGAAAAACGGCCTGCATAGGGGCGCGATTCGGGCAGGAAAAACGGCCTGCCTAGGGGCGCGATTCGGGCAGGAAAAACGGCCAGCCTGGGGGCGCGATTCAGGGAGGAAAAACGGCCTGCCTAGGGGCGCGATTCGGGTGGGAAAAACGGCCTGCCTAGGGGCGCGATTCGGGCAGGAAAATGGGCAGAACGGAACTAACGGTGGGCCCTAAACGAGTGGTCCTACAGATGGACCTGCTCTGAAACCATATCGAGAGAACTGTGCAGGAATGATTGGATTAGCAAGAGTTGGGGTACAAGTACTAACCCTAGAAGTGCTGTACCCCATAAGGAGTGCCCCACTATAGCCTACAAATAAGATTGTACTTTGACAAATTCCGGGGCAAATTCCTCAGATCAGTGACATGTTCCCGTGCCTCCAAAAGTTTTCCAATTGTACCGTATGCTGGTGGTGAGTTGCAAGCATGGTATATGAACAGTAAGTTTGTCAATGCTTGACCGAATTGGGTCTGAACAAGTGCTCCTTGGGCCTAATCCATGCCCAACCCAACCCATCCTCTTGCATACATTACTGTAGTTCTGCATACCGTACTAAAAAAATGTGTATTGCTAGAAAGGCATGCTCTGCCTTGCATGCATAAGGTAACAGCGTTGCTCTGCTCCGATGTGGTTTTGTTGAAACATGGTTGGTAGATAGGTACCGTATATACAATCATCAGGCAATAACAGACACGCAACACACACAAACCAACCCAACCCAGATACACTAAACAACCACAACATACTAAACAACCATCACATCATACCCCAAAAAGAAGGCACACTATGCACAAACTCTACCTCATCCCCCCCCCCCAGCTGCTGCCCACTCCCAGCCCTGCTTGAGTTCAGTTGCACTTGTCGCGGCACTTCTGATCCTTCCTGTCGCACTTGCGGCTGTTGTGATGATTGTCGTCATAGCACTCATCTAGCTGGTCGTCGCACTTCTCGGTGCACTCCTGCTGGCAATCATTGAACGCATCAATCGCGTCCCACTCGCAATCGCCGCGCTTCTCCGTGCATTTCTGCTCCTGCCACCAGTCCCGCGCGCGACCAATGCAATCGGTTTCCTTGTCCTGGCACCGCTGCAGCTTTGTATTGTACTTGTCTGAGCATGTAGTGGAGCTGTAAAGCACCCGCCTTCTGACTGTAGCGGGGGATGCAACGCTCGCGAATGGAGCTCGTGCACCTGCAGGGAAAATAGGTAAAATGATTTTTCATTACGGGTCTATAAAGCTACACCATCAGTAATCTGTTAGTTCTTTGGACTTTCTGGGTAATTGGGCAAGTTGACCGTACCTTGAGCAGAAGGGAAGTTGGAGATGGTGAGGAGAGCGGCGAGCAGGAAGAGGAGGGAAGCAACGAGAAACTTTCCGCATGCCATGGTAACGTCAGATTCCTCTTAGTCGAAAGGGAATGCTATGGATGTGAGCTGCAGAACTCTAAAAATAGGTGAGTAGAATGTGAATAAGGAAGTGACTGGAATCTGGAATACTCGAATCTTGGCTGCGATGGCTAACAGGTCGAGCGTCTTTCGTTTAAATATACAGCAACGCGACTGGAGCCGTCGGGAGACAGTACAACATTCCAGTACCAATTGGCCTCATCCATTGCGTCTTTCGGAGCACCAATGGCACGAGCCGTCACCAAGAAACATCGTGTAAGCACCAGCGGCTCCGCCCATGAAGCCATCATCACGAAATATCCCTGGAGCTCAAGTCACATGGACCTCCGCCCGATTGGCGCTTCGAGGCATGAGGCCAAACCACTCGGCCAAACTCGCCGGGTGTGGCGTCGCTTGGTTCAGCAAAAAGCTTCGGGGACGCTTGAAAAACAAGGATTCAAGAATTCTGCTTAGGTCAAGCACCATCCCATCGCCAGATGGCGTCGGCCCGTGTTCTTTTTGGAATTGCCTCTTGCTGAATTGGAGAAGAAAGCACCATCATAAGTTCCCGAGAGCGGGAGAGGGAGCGAGAAGGAACCCATATTCCCTGCTGAGGTGGTGAAACTGCTTTGACCTGACTGGAAATTCTGAACTCCTCGTTGGCAACTCCGTACTACGGCAACTCTGTACTCTCGTTGGCAACTCTGTACTCCTCGTTGGCAATTCTGTACTCCTTGTTGGCGACGGCGATAACATCCTTGATTCCCGCGTTGATATGTTTTTGTAAATCGACAGCTAAATTTGTCCCTCGTGGGTTCAGAAAATAATATTCTGAACCAAGTGTAACCCTGTTTGGCGTGAGGGGGGAGCGGGGAAATGATTCCCCGAAGTGGCGTGGGGAGGGGGGGGGGGGGACTGGAGGGGAATGTTTCGAGTGCGTGTTGCGGTGCTGGGATGGCAGGTTTTTCCCCCTGCTCTTCCCCGCCCCCCCTTTTTCGGCGGCGCGCCGCTGTTTTTGTCCTGCGCACCCTGAGTTCGATTCGCACATTCGCCCAACCATTTTTTGTTTCGCCAACATCTGTTCCATAGGATTCTGATTTGTACTGGCATTTCCGTTTCCCTACAGTGCTTACGTCAGCAGGTCCACCAGGACAAACGAGTACCCAGGCTGTGCATAGTTCCTTCCTTGCCAGTGACCGCCATAGCTAAGAAAAGCTAGACTCAATCTCCATTACTCTGCCTATCCTCGCCTTTTCGCCTTCCGCTCTCCCACCGTTCCTCTCTCCTCTATTCCTCCGTTCCGTCCGATTCGTCACCCTAGCTTTCCGCTAGCCTGAGTTCTCGTTTTCACTCCACGTCGCGGACCATGCCCATTCTAGCGCTTATGCCCATCGTCGCCCTGGTTGCACTTCCCCATAGCCCACCGCATCGAAATCGCTTCCATTCCTAGCCCGCCTTCCTCTGCCCATCCCATCGCATTTCGCGTTTTTTTTTTTTTTTTTTTTTTTTGTTACTTCGTCGCCATCGCTCTCAACCTGCGACGGGATAAACTAACTGGCTTTTCGTCGCATACGTGCACTCATGTCCAAAGCCCACGCTCCCTGCCCTCCCGTCGCCTTAGCGCACTCTCCTCTGTCGCCAATTCTCACTCCCCTCCATCGCCCATGCTCACTCCTTCCCGTCGCTCACGCATCCCCATCCCGTCGCCCACGCATCCCCATCCCGTCGCACCATTCCTTCGTTTCCCCCATCCGCGCTACCTCACATGTCTCTGTTCCAACCGTCCTCCTTCCTCATTCCCTCCCTCCCTGCCCCCCTGACTCCTCGCCACCATCCGCCTTGCCACCCTACCTTTCTTCCTCATTTCCTCCAGTTCTCCCTACCTTCCTCCCGTTCTTCCTTCTCATCTCCCCTGTTCTCCCATCTCGTCTCCCCCCGTTCTCCCCTCATTTTCTACCGTGATTCCTTCTCATCTCCTCTCTTTCTCCCGTCTCATCTCCTCACGTGCTCCCTAACTCATTTCCTCTCTTGCTCCCTTCTCATCTCCTCATGCTCTCTCGTCTCATCTCCTCACGCTCTCCCTCCCTTCTCATCTCCTCATGCTCTCCCTTCTCATCTCCTAATGCTCTCCTTTCTCATCTCCTCACGCTCTCCCGTCTCATGGCATGAGATGGTACGGACAAACAAAATGTGCCGTGAGGAGAGGTGGAAAGGGTGGATGGGGTGGGATGGATGGATAAACCAGGCCAGGCCAGGCCAGAGTCACTTGCATGTTTCACCTCACCCCATGTGTTCCCCCCCTTGTCACAGAGTTGTGATGCACGGGGCAATGGAGCAGCAGGGCATGAGTCTCACTGTGTGCTTTGCCGCTGCCTCTGCCCCATGCGTCTCACAGGACAGGGTGGCAATCCAGGAGGCGATGGAGCAGCAGGCCATCAGCATAGTCACGGCGAGCATCACCACCCACCGTCCTCAACTCCCGCACCTCCGTGCTCGCCGCTGCTAACCCGCCCTCGGGGCGATACGACGACCTCAAGGTGAGAGAAGGGGGAAGAGGCGGAGGTGGTGGGGAGGGGTGGGGTGTTGGGGGGCCACGTCAGCGATCGTGATGCCATGTGCTGCCACGTCTTCTCATGTTATGCCCCGGAATGATCAATGCGTGCATCAAGAACACGTGCCACTTCAACTACAATCCGTTCCAATCCCCATTTCTGGCTCTTTTTTTCCACAGAGCGCCACGTGGTGAACGGGCTTACCTGATCTCAGGCCTCTCCCTGTGCTACCCCCTGTCTCTGCCTCGTCTCCCCCGCCACAAATCGCACGGCAAGGGGTGAACGTGCATGCGAAGGCGGATGCAGTGGTGGGGTAGGGCGGGGATGGTATGGGGGGGCGGGGCCGCATGGGGGATGGGCCTGCGGGGGGGGGGGGGGGGGGGAGAGGGGGAGCGTGGGGCACACGGGGAAGGATGGGGAGCAGGAGAACTGGCTCAAGAGGTGAGGAGTGGGCGGAGGTGAGGTGTGGGGGATGGGCGGAGGTGAGGTTTTGGGGATGGGCGTGGGATGGGCGTGTCACACCGCACTGCACCGCACCATTCCGCGTCCCACCTCATCGTGCTGCATCACATGACGTGGCATCATCCTCCCTCAACGCCCCCTCGCCTGTCAGAACATGCTGCAGAGAGCAACAGAGATGGGGGAGGCATCAGTGCTGCCAATCACGGTTCGCCAGCTGGAGGCCATCGTGAGGCTCTCAGAGTCCATGGCGCACATGCAGCTGTGAGCGACGTGGCATGCAGCTGTGAGTGACGTGGCATGCAGCTGTGAGTGACGTGGCATGCAGCTGTGAGTGACGTGGCATGCAGCTGTGAGTGACGTGGCATGCAGCTGTGAGTGACGTGGCATGCAGCTGTGAGTGACGTTGCATGCAGCTGTGAGTGACATGGCATGCAGCTGTGAGCGACGTGGCATGCAGCTGTACGTGGCAATGACATCGCATGCAGTTGTGTGGTGGATGTAGTAGCCGTTCTGACTGGATCTGATCATCCCCCTATTTTCTCCCCACTTTTCCTCTCTGTCATTTCCTCCCGCCTCTCCCACTCTCCCAGTTACCTGGCCCCACTTTTCCCCTTCCTCCGGTTCTTCCCCCCACCCCTCCTCCCCCCACAGCTCACCACTGGCCACAGAAGAGCACGTCACCGAGGCGCTTCGTCTCTTCCACGTCGCGACGCTAAAAGCCGCCCGGTCGGGCGTGGTGGACGGCGCAGTGCTGAGGGAGGAGCAGCGGCGCGAGGTGCAGCAGGTGGAGGGCGCTGTGCGGCGCCACGTGGCCATCGGGGGGTTCGTGTCGGATCGGAGAGGCGGCTGCATGATGATATCACGCGGTCGGGGCATCAGTGAGAGCACGGTGAGGTGAGGCACTGGCTGGTTGAGCGCGGTGAGGTGAGGCACTGGCGTTGCCTCATTGCCCCATTGTCTGATTCGCCTTGCAACATGGCCGCCTTGTTGCTGCATCAGGAGGCTGCGTGTCGTTCTACTGGCTGTGTGATCCCCAGATTGCTGCCCATTCGGTGTCTGCCTGGCGGGTGCTGTGTGCAACGCTCATCCCAATCCTTCAGCACATGTATAACCTCGAATGTGGCATATGCATGTTGCATGGCGTGTGGCATGTGGCGTATGGCGTTTGGCATGGCATGTGGAATGGGGCGTGGCATGTATCGTCGCATGCTGCAAGCATCAGGTGCGGCCAGCGCTGCTCATCATGGTGGCACGGGGGGAGGGGAGTACCGGCGGGAGAGGAGGGTCATATACCGCAAGGTCTGACCGCCGCTCTCACTGCTGCACTCACTTACATTGGCAATCTAAATACAATGCAAAACCACTGGTTCTACGCTTTAGTTGTTTTTTTAGTTCAACCTCGTAGCTTCAGCTGTGTTGGCCAAGTAGCAAGCAGGCAGATGAATAGAAAGGCGTTAAGCCGACAAATAATTATATTTTATGAATTAGATTGTTGATAACTTTTTGACAAGTCGGTGTAGTTTAGTGGTTAGAATCTCACGTTGTGGCCGTGGAGACCTGGGCTCAAATCCCAGCACCGACACTTTTTACCCGTACTTGGTTGGTGTGTGCAGCTGCTGTTTGAGTGTTGTTGCGCCTCAAATCCCGCCTCTTCTGTTGTTGCGCCTCATTTGCTTACCAACTTAAATCAAATCCCTATTTTCACCATTCTTACCTTATTGTACTTATGTATTTTTATTTTCCCAAATGCCTAGTGTAGCCGACACTTGCAGCACACCCAGTACCGGTAAGTTTGACAAGGGATGGAACACTAACAGAAACGGATTTCAAGGGGCAAGGTTGGCACGGCAGCATTCAAGTCAAAGCGCTGATTAAGCTTCTAGCGCGGGACCACCCTTCTGTTGTAGAGATTTAAGGCTAACTCTGGGAAAATACCATATGTTATTTTAGGACAACGAAATGGCAAAATGGGTGTCTGAACCCGGAATCGAACCGGAGATCTCCAGTGTGTGAGACTGGTGTGATAACCGACTACACCATCCAGACATGTCGACCTTCAATTTATAAAATTTCAATTCCAGTAAATTCAAATATCATTTCTTGACACCGATGACGTGGCGCCAAATCTGTTCCCTGGGAATGCTGCTGATGTGGTGGAGAGCAGCACAAGCCACACCCAGCACTGGCCCCTTTCACATGCCTCGTTTCCCTTGCCTATCCCTCAAAGCAATCAACCTCACTGCTTGTGCACAGATTTCTGTTTTTCCTCCCTTGCTCGCTGCTTCCAGACCAGCGCACTGGTCGCCGCCATTCGCCTCTGCTTTCTAGCTGCCGCTGCGCCAACGGTTCACACGCCCTGCCTGCTCGTCCTCTCGCTGCACGCTGACGTGGAATGGCTTCCATGGCTGCCACGGCGGTGGCTGATTGCCGCACATTGCGGTGTATAGGTAGGTTGCGATGACGCGCCGCCGCATGTCATGTACTCGCGCCGGATTCTATGTAGCATCGCAGTCGCATGGGCACCTCCCAATTGTCGCTCGCGATAATGGCTCCGCTGAGATCCACGTCGCTTCGTGGCTTCACGTGGGCGCATTCGTTCGCCATTCCGCCCATCTCGCCATGCCCCTGACTCTTAATTTCATTCCGTGAATTCCGCGTACTTCGCCATCCCCGTTCGTACATTGTCGCCCAGGCTCAACTCCCTCGTCGCAATGCCGTGCGACGGCCGTCGCCTCGCTGCCTGCTCGCCGCATCGCCTCGCACGCGCTGCGCTCGCTCGCCAGCGTCGCACACATCGCCTCGTGGCAACGCTGCGACTCGCGCCAAGCGACTCATTCACGGTAACCCTCAGACGCTGCCATTCTGCCCCTTCACCTTCGGACAACTAGAGTCGAAAGGAATGAACTGAACAGAAGCAGCAAAGACGGGAATTGTTCGCGAAAAAGGAACTGGTTGGTGGGTTTGTTATTTCTCGCGGATCTGAAACGGCTTTCTGGAATTTGTATACTCTCATGGGCCTGCGACCCGCTCCCCAACATGTCAGTCTCCCAATCCCACACCTCTCGTTCCCCTTATCCATCCCCACCCCCCCTCCCCCTCCCCCTACCCCACCCACATGCATCTCCGGCCGGGCAGCGTTGGGCGGGCCGGGGCGGTGCGGGCGGCAGCGGACGAGGAGGTGGAGGAGGAGCTGATGATCATCGAGGAGAGCGCGGTGAGTGCATTGCAGCCCTGGGCGCGGTGAGGAGAGCGCGGTGAGTGGCGGGACCAGTGCTCCCGTGCTTGCCAGGGGTGGGTGTGGTGCTTGTGTGGCCTTGACGGTCTTGCAACACAAAGGCAGCACGGCAGGGTTTAAGACTCGCATGATCACTGGGCTGCCATTCTGCAGCACCCGGCTTGTATCTGCCTGTCATCAGCACACATGCAGCGCGTGCCACACCCCTCCCTCTCCTCATTCCTTCCACCACCCTCCCTTCCTCTCCCTCTCTCAACTCGTTCCCCTTGCCTCCCTCCGCATTTTCACTCACCTCCTTTCAACGCCCTTTTCCCACCCTGCCACGCTGCCACGGGTCAATGCGGTTTAATGCGGTGCAGATGGAGCGCATGGAGAAGACGCTGGACAGCGTGAGGGGCAACTTCAACACCGTCAGAACGGGGCGAGCCAGCCCCTCCCTGCTGGACCGCATCGAGGTGAGCCCTTCCCGTTCCTTATGCCTTCCTACCTCTCACCCTCACTCTCGCTCCCACTCTTGGTCTCGCTCTCCTCTTCCCTGTGCCTCTTTGCACCTACAATCTGGCTTCTGCCTTCAGTTGCGTCTGTACCTTGCTGGCTGCACTATGTGCCACGTGTACCCCTCCCATCGCCACGTGTGCTACTCCCATTGCCACGTGTCACCCTCCCGTGCCCTGCTGTACCGCCAGGTGGAGTATTACGGCACAAACGTGATTCTAAAGAGCATCGCCCAGATCGCTACCCCCGACGCCTCCATGCTGCTCGTCACGCCCTTCGACAAATCCAGGTGCCATTCCTTTGCCTTCCTTCGAACCCCTCCCACTCTCGGCCCCACTGCCTGCCTCGCCCCATTCCTTCCCCTCCCCAAGCATTCTTTCCATAAAAGAAGGCCATAATGAAGTTAGAAGTGCTGTGAATCACTTAATAGAGCCCCCCCCCTCACATTCACCACAATACCTGCCCTTCCCCCCTAAGCCAGCATCCCGCCCGTAGAGAAGGCGATTATGAGGCCAGACGTGGGCCTGACACCCTTTTGCTCCTCTTGCTCTTGCCCCCCCCCTCCCCCCTTTCACACACCCCCCACTTTCTCCTCCTCCCCCCTCTTTGACACGGCATCCCATCCATCGAGAAGGCGATCATGAGGTCGGATGTAGGCCTCACGCCTTCCTGCTACTCTTTCTGTCACTTCCCCCTCATCCCGCGCCTCCCCCCCCCCCCCCCCCATCTCCCCCTCCCATCCCCCACAGCATCCCGTCCATCGAGAAGGCGATCATGAAGTCGGACGTGGGGCTCACACCCTCGTCCGACGGCAACGTCATCCGTCTCTCCATCCCCCAGCTCACCGCTGAGCGCCGCAAGGTGCAGCCCTCTATCCCCAGAAAGCACCAGAGTCCCAGTGTCATCTGTAATGTGTAGGGGTGTTGAGCTGCTATGGGATGGTGTCGGCCTCCACCAGAGGCTGACTGAAAGTGGCTAGGCCGTAGAGGTTGGGAGTGCTACGGATGGCGGCAACAGGAGCTGCTGAAGACGGTGTCTAAGCTGTCTGAAGATGGCAAGGTGAGTCATGGGGGGGATGCAGGCAAGGTGTGCTCTCATGCATGCATGCATGCATGCACGAATCACACCCATGCACACACCCCAAGGCACACACCTTTGCAGAAGCATGTCCTAAGGCTCTCGCTCACGAATGCCATTCACCGCCCCCACTGCACCTGCCACCTGCACCCTGCCCCACCCACATGCGCCCTCACCCCTCTGCCTCCCCTGCCCCCTCTGTCCCCTCCTGTCCTCCTGCCCTTTCCCCCCCCTCCGCCCCGCATGGCCACGTGTGGCCACCAGGTGGCGCTGCGCAACGTGCGCCGGGACTCCATCAAGGCCTACGAGAAGCTGCAGAAGGTGCCGCCTGGACCACCGCATTTGGCATCGCTCTTGACAATCAAATCTTTCTAGAGTCAACTGCCTGCACCACCCCTCTCAACGTGCCTTCCTTTACACACACCGTGACTAAGATGCCTGCAGCCTGCCTGCGCTCCTGCTGCATGCGCTGCATGCCACATGCGCTGCATGCCACATGCGCTGCATGCGCTGCATGCCACATGCGCTGCCCTGCGCTGCCCTGCCCTGCCCTGCCCTGCGCTGCCCTGCACCGTCTTGTGCCATCCGTGTACTGCCGCACGCTATTTGCAAGAGCAGCTTCCTGCTTGCCTGTTTCTTGTCATCTCTTTTAATCACATGCCACGTGTCGTGTCCCCATTGGTGGCAGGATAAGAAGATCTCAGAGGATGCTCTCAAGGACCTCTCCAATGACATCCAGGTGACGTGGCATGCAGGGATTGGCCAGCATTACCCGCCATGCAGGCACCCACACATCTTCCTCACAACCTCTGCTGACTCACCCCTTTCTGCTCCTAGCTGTCGGGCAACTCATATTCTTGACCCTCTGCTTCTCTTTACCCCACTGGCTTCGGACACCCCTCTCTCTTTGTACACAACCCCCCCCCCCCCCCGTTTCTTTCTTACTACACCGCCCTCCCCCTTCCCACGTGTGCACGCGAGCAGAAGATGACAGACGACTATGTGAAGCAGATCGAGACGGCCTTCAAGCAGAAGGAGAAGGTCAGTGCCAACCCGCCCCCAGATCTGCTGTGCTGTGCAGGGGGCTCCGTACCTTGATGTTTGTTTTCCTTTCTTCAAGTTGATCTTTGGAGGTACATCCTCCAAATGCCTGCTCCCATGCCACGTCAGGGATTGCTCCGAACAACCGTACCTCTGCACCCCTTTCCATCCATCTCCACCGTCCCTCCCCCTCAGGACCTGCTCACGGTGTGAGTGGCTGTGACATGACAAGCAACTGAGCGGCCAACGCACAAACAAACACACGACTCAGCGCCAAACACTCATGCCCCTGATTCCATCTGTGCTGCACCGCTGCTGCTCTGCACCTCTGCTGCCAAACGCCCATTCAGATGCACTTGCTGTGGGCAGTAACTAGAAAATGTATTTCTTCAGAAGGACTAGCCTAGCCTGATCATTTGATTTGCTAACAGCTCCCAAGGCCGAATGGCGTGAACAGAGTCTTCTAGACTCTCCTCTTGCAACACATGGGTGTCTCACCTCACAGGCATCCACCATGGCTTTAGATGTATGTAACCCTCGCTTGACAACCTTGAATTGAATGATGCTCAAGGGAAGAACCACTTGTGTGGAAGATTGAACCAAAGTTGGGCCATGTGTGACTATGAAGGCGTTCCAAAGCTCTGGCTACAATAACGTGTAGAAATTAGCCACAGCTTGACACTGGAAATCGAAATGAACTGGGCAAATTTCAGAAATGAATCAATGAATCAAGCAGCCAACAACATGTTATCTACCAGATGTTTGTTGAGGGGCGGTAAAAGGGGCCTGGCAGTGCGTGAGGGAGAAGAAGGTGCATCGCCCCACCCTCTCCTCATTCCCCGACACACACCGGTCCAGATGGAATGACCTTCCAGACAGCCACCGCTGCACCTCCCTCAGCACCGCCTCTCCCTGCCACTTAGCTAAGAGCGGGTCATCCGGCAGCAAAAACGCATCCAGCTCCTCCAACTCCTTGCTCGCATCTGGCCCTCCTTGATCTACCCCATGCTCGCCCTCTTGCCCCTCCCCTTGCTGCGCCCCCTGCCCCACTTGCTGCAGTCGCCTCCCCCCCATCCTACCCACGCCAGCCCTCCCTACATCAGCACCACCGCCCTCCACACCCCCTTCCCTACGCCCCGACCCCCCCTCCCAGTATCTGCCTCTGAGCTGCGCCAGCACGCCCTCCCCCGCGCCCTCCACGTCCACCAGCAGCTGGCACGTGCTCATGCCCCGTGCTAGCAGCCCCTGCAGGTCCCATAGGCGCCCCACTCCCACCTGGTTGGGGGGTTGACGGGGGTGGGAGGTGGGCAGTAGTGAGGGAGGGAAGGGTGTTGCTGTGCTGTGCCCCCGTGCCGTCCACATCCACCGCACCTGCCACGCGTGCACCTCACACGCCAGCAGTGCTTGCACTCCACCAAGTGTAAGCTGCGCATGGTTCCTCCCATGTGTGCACATGCAACACTCATGTAACGCCCATGTAACGCCCATGTAACGCCCATGTAACGCCCATGTAACGCCCATGTAATGTATATTGATACTCACTCGAATGAGGTCCACGTGCTTGGACGCCCCTGCAGCCCGGAGCACATGGTCCGCATCTACAGCAGCCCCAGCCCTCCCCACCACCTCCTCCTGCGCCTTTATCCGCCTCACCGCTGCTTCAAACGCCGCCTTGTACTGTGCACCCACTTCCCTGCCTGCCACTGCTGACTGCTGCTGGGCGGCAGCGTCGGCAGTTTGGGCGGCAGTGGCAGTGGGTTGGGCGGGCGGTTTTGGCAGCATTAGGAGGCGCATGGAGGGCAGGGCGGAGAGCAGGTGGGCGTCCCAGAGGAGGTCGGCAGAGGGCGGGGTGGCAGGCAGTGACACTGCGATGCTGGCAGGTGGGGAGGAGAGGGCGAGGGTGGGGAGAGGAGATGGGCGGGGGTAAGGGGTGAAGACATGAGGGAGACGAATGACAATGATGTGCATGCTCAGCAGCCGGCGGCACAAAGATGCGAGTTGCAGCGCGGTGCAGCACATTGCAGTGCGGTGCAGGGTGCAGTGCAGTGCAGTGCAGTGCGGTGCAGTGCAGTGGAGTGCAGTGCAGAGTGCTGGGCAGTGCAGTGCAGTGCAGTGCAGTGCAGAGTGCTGGGCAGTGCAGTGGAGAGCGCCAGTCCACATGCATGGAAGCATGTCAAGCGGTGAGGGGCACGTGTGGCCGTGTGATGGCAAGCAGAGCGGGCACCTGTGGGTGAGGGCGAAGAGGTGCTGCAGGAACGCGGACCAGCTGCCACCCCGCCCCGTGCCAGACGCCCCAAACACCGTTGCCTTCCCCAGCCCATGCCGCACACACAGCACTGCTGGTGCAGGCGCCCTCCACCCCTCCCTCCTCACTGCCTCCCTCCATGCTGCCTCTGCTGCATCCTCCTCTGATGCTGCTGCTGCTGCTGCTGCCGCCCCTTGCTCCTCCATCACTCCCACTTGCTCCGACCCCCTAACAAGTGACCTCCCTCCCAGCCGCCCCAGCAGGCGTTGCCACAGGGAGGGTTGGCTGGGGGAGGTGGAAGCTGATGCTAGTTGTTGGTCTTGCGGGGAGAGGGAAGCAGGGCGAGCAGGTGGGGCTGTCGACGAGGCTGACGGGTTGGTTCGGCGCCGAACCTCAAGAGAGAGCTGAGGTAGGGGAAGACGGAAACGAGGAGGGGGTGAGAAGGCGTAAAGCATAAGAAGTGAGAGATGAGGACAGAGGGAGGGATATCTCCTCCACCAGTAAACCCCACCCACCTGCGCCACCTGCGCCTCACACCCCTCTCTACCGCCCTCCACCGCAGCCATCACCGCCTGCCGCCCCGCCGCCAGCCGCTCCGGCACATGCTGGTCAAACTGCGCCGCCCAGTCCGCCGCCCACGGCCCCGTCTGCTCGCAAAACGGGTTGGGCGGCGGCTCGTGGTGGCAGGGGCGGCAGTAGTCGCCGCCGCGGCGGTTGCGGAGGTTGGGGAGGGCGAGCATGCGGAAGAACTGGTGGTGTGACACGAGGCACAAGGGGAAGTGCGCGCGCGTGACTGTCACATTCAGGCGCTGCAGCATGCGCGCGTACACCGTCTCCGCGTTCACTCGCCTGCCGTGAGTGGTGGGCACAGATGCAGCAGAGAGAGACGGGGTGAGGAGTGGTGAGCAACTGTGGCGACACGCAAGTGAGAAAGCACGGTGGCAGCAGGAATGGCAGTGGCAATTGCAAGGGGGAAGGCAGGAGCAAAGAGCATCGAATCCCAGCAGCCCTACTTGCCAGCTTCGCCGACGCCTTCGCTCACAGCCCCCAGCATGTGCAGTCGCGCAAACGCCGCCCGGCCCGCCGCCCGCGGCACCACCGCCAGCCTGTCATTCACCCCACCAAAATCCAACCCGGGCGGCGCCGTCAAGCTCCAGTACTCCAAGGCGCCCAGCGGCGCGGGCGGCGCTGCCCAGAAAGAGTCCGGGCGGGCCTTCATGAGCCACTTGTAGCGGCGGCTGTAGCGGCGTTCTCTCTCAGCAATATCAGCAGCGCACATGGCTTCCATGCTGAACTGCTGCAGCAGCCCCTGCGGCCCGTTCTCCAGCCCCTTGAGCGCGTGTGTGGGGTACAGCGCCTCGTTCACGTTGAAATCCGGAAACACTCGCACTGACACCAGCCTTGGCCCTCCCAATCCTCCTCCTCCCCCTCTCCCCGCCTCCCCTTGCTGCATGACGTTTTCTTCCCTGGCTCCCCCGGCTCCCTGCGCCCCCTCCGCCCACCCCATCCCCCTGAGGGCGAGGAGCTTGGCGGAGTTCTCATCGAGGGGCGTCACCACAAACACGTCTGCCTGCCCGTACCCCTCAACCCCCACCAGATTCGCCGCTATGGATGGCCCGGTCAGCTCAAACGTTCGCAGCTGCCCGACAAGGCACAGCGCCATGGAGTCCTCCGGCCAGGGCAGCTCAAAATCTGCAGCAGGCGCTGCTGCTTCTGCTGCTGTTACTGTTGACAGCCCTGGTGTGGGGGTCTGGAGGAGGGTTGAGAAAGGATGGAGAGGGGAGAGGTGGATGGGGTGGTGTGAGAATTCGATGGTGAGTGTGCGGCGTCTCTTGCTCTGCTTGCAGGTGACACAAGCAGAGCACACAAGCAACGGTTCTGCGCCCCTTGCTCTGCTCTGCTTGCAAACGCTCTTCTCTCCCTCGCACGCTCGTCCCTGCTCCGGCCCCTTCCACCAGTCGCCTTGCATCACCTCACCTCACCGCACCTCACCTCCGTGTGAAGATCCGTGTGGGGCAGGGCAGCATGGGTCACCAGCGATGCCTGCTGCCGGTGCCATGGAGTGGGGGGAAGGCGAGAGCAGCGTGGGGGGGTGGGGGTTGAAGGGAGACAGATACGAGGAGTTGGATGGAGGATAGAGGAGGGTAGAGCGAAGGGGAAGGGGTGAAGGGCATGTCATGTGGGCCGTGGGAGGGTGGAGGGAGGGAGGGACGAAAGGTGACAGGTACGTTGATACAGCACACACACTTTTACCCCTCACCTCGCCCTCTCCAGTCACCTTGCCTTTTCCCCTCACCTCCCCCTCTGTCTGCGCGCCACCGTGCGCGTGCAGCCATGGCGGCATCACGCTCGTGAATGCCAGCAGCGGCGTCAGCGCCAGCACCGCCACCACCGCCACTATCGCCACCCGCCGCGCCGCGCCCCTCCCGCCGCCTCCCCCGCTTCCCCTGCTGCTGGGCTGATCCGTGCCCGCGCTACTTCCCCCCGCGCCCATCCTGCTGCCCGCGCGGCTGCGCAACTGAAGCGCTCCCCCGACGCCGATACCCCCTGCGCTCCCCCGATAGCCCTCCCGCCCGCGCACTACCGCCGCCGGCTCCGCCAATCCCCGATCCGCCGCGCCCCGCCTGCGAACCTCGGAGTCCCGCGTCGCCGCGCGATGAGGCGACTGCGATTGGACAGGCGACGGCGGCGACAGTAACGGCGACGCTGCGAAACCTTCGCGGCCCCTCGCCACGCGACGACCTGTGACGAACTACAATCGCGAGGATGAGCGGGGGGGAGCGGAGAGGAGAGGAGAGGGGGTTGCGGAGGGGACGCACGAAGAATGCGGCGAGAAAATGGGGTGCAGCGGGGGCGGAAAGGGAGAGCTCACGCGATCGGGCGACGGGTTGGCGGAGTGGCGGCGGGGGATGGGGGAGGTCATGGCGGGCGCGGAGTCATGGCGCGCGCGAGACGAGGCGGTTCGGGGAAAGGCTGGTTGGGGTGTTCGGATTCGGACACCGGGCCATAGGCATGGCGAATCGCGACTTGGTTGGGGTGGCTGTGTGACTGCCTGGCGAGTTGCTATCGGTGGGGAAGTGATGGTGGGTGCGAACGCGATAGCGAATGACTCGATAATCCAATTAGAAAACTCATTGAATGTCTACCTCCCGTGAGAACTGGTTGTCTTACTGAAAGAACTAGTAAACCATAACACAAAGAACATACAGCATGTCGTGCATGATTGGGGTGAGACCGAGGGCAACAGTTGAACAGAAACGTGCTAATTCTTGCCTTCCCTAACCAGATCCAAGAGAAAGAACATGTTTGTATATAGGTACCATACTGAATGCAGTACTAACTACGCGGACAAACTACGGTAGGCGAACAACTTATCAACTGTTCGCCAGAGAGTGCATCAGGTTCTAAACGACAACCCTGTGGCTGTCTGGCTGGTGCTGGCAGCCCATGGCCTTGCTGCAACATGGCCTGGTTGCAACTAGTCCTTGCAGCTTGCATCCTGCTGGATGGAAGGGGGTGCATCGAATGTGGAGGGGACGTTAAAGTTGATGCAGGTGCAGAAGCAACTCAGAGATTGCGACCATGATTTTAACCCTCACTAGGACATTAGGAAGGAAGAGGCAACACGGGGGGGGCGGGGGTGGGGGGTACCACACGCACCTGTGGCCTGCTGTCCTCTTGCCTGCTTCGACCCTTGCCATCATTCCCATCAGCCTTCTCCTCCCCTGCCTTCCCTTCTTCACCCTCCTTCCCTCCCTTCACCACCTCCCCCTCTCCACCCCCCTGCCCGTCTCCACTAGCAGCAGCACCACCAGCAGCATCAGCGCCACCAGGTACAGCAGCAGCGGCAGCAGCGTCCTCAGCAATGGCAGGGAGGGGCATGCCGGGGAGGCCGAGGATGGACGGGAGCCCATCAGCAGCCACAGTCACGGGCCGCAGCTGAGCCACTGCAGGGGACACCGCCACGCCCGCTGCCACCGCTGCCGCCACCGCTGCTGCCGGGGAGGAGTGGTTGGGCTGGCCTGGCTTGGACTCCGTCAAGGCCTGGTGGGATGGGTGGGGGGAGGGGGCGGGAGAGGGAAGGGGGAGCGTGTGTGGTGGGATTTGCGTTGGAGAACTGGAGGGGAAAGGCTCACAATGCAATGCGATATGCTGCGGTGCTTTTGACGAGCGTCAGATGGGTTGATGTGTTGTGGGAGGGTGCGGCAGTGACCTCAGGGAGGTGATAATGCTTAGATCCGTGCGTGTATGTATGCCACCAGGCAGTACCATTCTCTGGATGTCCCTTTTCTAGGCGCATGAAAGCGCACTGACCTCGGGGAAAGGGGTATACATGCACTTTGACTTCATAGGGCAGGGGGGAGAAGAGAGTGGTAGGTGCGTACATGTGATGCGGCTCAAGACGGCACGGACCTCGGGGAAGAGGTAGATGTATTTGGAGTCCTGCTCGTAGGGCACGGGGCGGTACGCCATGCAGGCGTCACAGAGCTCACAGTTGTATCGGAACTGGCGCTCCACTCCCTTCTCCCTGCCCCCACGTGTAGCACCGTGCAACCACGGCATTGAAGGAGCCATGCGGACGAGAAGCGCACACAGAGAGCGGGAGTGCAGCGGCGAGGAGAATGCAGGGCAGTTGATGCAGCGTGCGGGCGCAGGCAGCACATGAGCAACGGCGTTGCCGGGGGTGGCGATAAGGCATCCCCGATGTCATTGTTGGGCGGTGAGAACGCGTGCTCCAGGTGACGTCCACACACCAATGCCACGGTTGCTGCCCATCACAGTCCGCATGGCATGATGCATGCATGCACATTGACATAAGCACATGCAAACATCAACGCATGCATGCATGCATGTGCAACCATAAACACATACACACACATACACACAGACACACATACGTGCACACGCACACAAGATCCAAATGGGGAGAGGGAGCAGCAGAAGAGATGAAGACGCCTGCCCAGCATGTGGTGTGGTGTGGTGTGGTGTGGTGTGGTGTGGAGGTGAGCATGAGATAAAGTGAAAGCAGGGGAGAAAGTAGGACACAGACTATGAAAGATAGATGAGTCCCAGGTGGTCACAACCTTACACAATAAGCAGCCACAACAATAAGCACGAAGAACAGTAAGCAGCACAGGCAATACTCAACACGACAGGCTTTTATGCGCTTCTCCCCCCACCTCTTGAGCAGCTTCTGGCCGCCCTTGACGGCCATCATGGTGACCAGGTCCGTTGCCGCCTCCACCACCCTGCTGCCGTCCGTGCGCCTCTCTGGCAGGGCTGACAGCGGGCGCGCTGCGAGGCATTGATGCCGTTGCAGGCAAGGGAGAGAGGGTGGGGAGAGGGGGGGAGGGGAATTGAAGAATGCAAGGAGACTCAGTGTGTGGCTGCCTCCACCACCCTGCTGCCATCCGTGCGCCGCTCGGGCAGGGCCGACAGGGGGCGCGCTGCACGACAGTCATGCGGTTGCAGGCGGTGGGGGGAGAGGGGGGGGGGGGGGGGGGGGCATTAAGGTGCGAGAAGGGAATCAGCCCGTATAGGCAACTCCCTACCCTGCTGCCATCCGTGCGCAGCTCAGGAGGGCCACTGCGGAGCAGAAAAGGACAGGTGGGGGAAGCGGAGACGAGAGGAGGGAGGGGCGGGGGCAGACAGGGAGTGCGACGAGGGAAAGGGAGTGAAGGTAACAGTGGAAAAACAGATGACCGATGCAAATGCTTCGGTCGCAATGTGGAACGAAAGCGAGAGATGGAAATGAGTGGAGAAGAGCTTGACCAGCTGTGCCAAATGAACCGGGACAACTCACAGCTAGACTCAACCAGCAGGCATCCACCCCATCATCCTCCCATGCTAAGAGAACCATGCGACACAAGTGGCAGTGACAGCAGCGAGAACTCACCAAGTTTGAAGCAGAAGTGGTTGCAGGCGGCGCAGCGGTAGAGCACGCGGGAGAGGTCCGCCTCTGCCTTGCGCTGTCGCTCCTCCACTCGCTGCCTCATGCTCCACCCCCCCTTCTCCTCCCCGTCGTCCTGCCGGGGAAAGGGGGGGTATGGTATAGCAGTTGAGAGGGACGAAAGTGGTGGGCAGGGGCAGAGGGTGGAAGGGGCAGACGGAGCTGAATGCGCCTGTTAATTGGATGACGGGAAGGGTGGGTCGTTATACCTTGTCATAGCTGACGAGAAGCCCGTCGTGGTGCGGCTTGAACTTGTGCCCGTTCGTCTTCCACATGGCTGCTGTCGCCTGCCGGGCCAAGCATGCGAGGCGGTGGGGAAGGGACGGGAGGCATGTGTGAGAGGCGAGATGAGGGAAGAATGGGAAGTTGCCCGCTGGCCTTCCACATGGAAACTTTTGCCTGGTGGTTGAAGTGCCGCGAGAAGAGATGGATGGGGAGGTGGTGGTTGGGGTGGGCAGGTGCAGCGGCCAGCGTCCCACTCACATGCTACCGGCCAGCGTCCCACTCACATGCTACCGGCCAGCGTCCCACTCACATGCTGCTTCTCGTCAAAGTCAACGAAGCACATGCTGCGCACCTGCACACCACACACAGTGCCCAGTTATAGTGAGCGCAAGTGACGTACAAAACATGTTACGGTACACTCATGGCAGCGACTGTATGAGTTGCTTGGAATAGATGGGTGCGTCAGATGCATTACGGGTTCACTGAGGTGTGAAACACATGAGGATACAAAAGCAGGATTCAACAGCAAGCGACTCGTTGAAAACAAGCATCAGCACCGGCAGCCACAGCAGCGACAGCAGCAGCGGCGGCGGCAGCAGCAGCAGCAGCAGCAGCATGGCATCTCACCCGACGAAAAGCAATAAAGCCCTCCAGATGGCGAAAGAGCTGTGCGACGAGAGTGAGACCACATGCACAGGCGAGGGGGAGACACGGACGGGTGGTGGGGGTTGGAGGAAGGGGGATAGGAGACGGAAGAGCGGGAGGAGGGTAAGAGAGGGAAGAGAGGAGAGTAGTGTGACTGACTTGCACATCATCTCACAGCACCTACACCAGTGTGCGTGAACGGTGCCGGGTTGGCATGCGGTAGTGTGTGATACAAGCGTGCAGTGTGGGCTGGCGCAGGGCACAGCATTAGCTACAGCTCAGCCGGCACAAGGAAAGGGACACACGTGTACCGAATGTCGCTCCCTTGATTGCTCGCGCGCACCACTCTCGCACACACAGTCCGTCGGTCAGGCAGAGTCAAGAAACGGTTCGACAATTTGATATGAAGAACCGCGCGATCTCGCGGCCAGTAGGTAATCGATTTCCTGGCCACAAGCGTTCCCGTGCAGTTCACACAAACACGCTGAACGCTACAGGAGCGGGAAATATAAAAATATTCCCGCAACGTCCCGGCGTTGATCCCGCGGCGCTTTCTCACCCCTTCGAGCTGCTCCGTGGAGGCGCCGGGCGGCACGTTGGTGATGTAGAGCGTGCGCGACGGGTTCACCCACGTCTTCTCCTTGAACGTGCTCTTCTTCCCCTTTATCCCCGCCACGCGCGCCGCCTCCTCCGACAGCCCGCCAAAGTTGGTGCTCGCGCCGCTCATGGCTGCAGAAGTCGTGTTCGCGATGAGGGATGCTTCGGATGGCGCTGAGGGGCTCACTGGCGCACGCCGAGTATGACAATCATGCATACGCAACGACCCTTGTGTCGAGTGCAGGGACTGACTGTGCTGGTGTGAGGGCTTCGCTGTTTCCGTGTTGCGTTGCGGTGCTGCACGGTAACTCGGTTCGAAACTAGCTGGTGGGTTATCTGTTATAATCTCACGAACTTCCTGAGAACATTCTACTTAGGGTTGCAAACTACAATCTTCTGGTGAGGACATTCTTCCTAATTCTTGAGTTGGAAACTACATTCTGTGAAAGAGATGTACGGTACGATCACAAGACGGAAACAGCTGTCGTGTGCTGTCGAGAGAATTCCGACAGCTTTTTCGGGAATTCCCTAAACCCAGCCAATTTATCACGGGAATTCTCTCAACCAAGACTTGCGGAGCTGTCGTGTCTGCTGCACTGTAGTGTGCCCTGGGCACTTGCAAATTGGCTAGAGGCGCGTGCTTGCTTTGGGCTGTCAGATATTGAACGCGAGCCAACAATTCCGAAGCAGCCATTCAGACTTGGGTTCACACATTGTTTGCCAGAAAGTATTTCAGCCACGACAAGGGTTTGGGTTCACACATCATTTTTTGGCGTGAGGAATTTATTGCTATCTGGGGCTCGGTGGGTATCCTGAAGTGGCCCAGCTAGTTAGCTGATTCACTTCCGAAAGATGAGGTCCCGGGATCAAATCCCCCCAGTCCCCACTAAAAGGGATGTCGGTGTTGCTGTTTCAAGCGCAGGTGTATCCACCACCGGTAGACTTCTGGACGAGGATTCGGAGGATATGTCACAATTTCGTCTCTGGGGGGAAGGCGTCACTGGATCGCCGGTTTGTCCTCTGGAGCTACGACCTGACATGCAGAAGGAGAGACGGGGGGCTGGGAGTGATTAACCCGAGAGACTGGATCGACAGTATGGCGCTGCAGTGCTTAAGTAAAGCCATTGCGGAAATAAGTGATATAAAGCGATGGATGACGGAACAAGCAGCGTCGATGCCGCTGGGCTGGGCGACTATGTGGGCGCACAAGGATATAGCCAAGCAATGGAAAGGAGGAGGGGAAAGGTGGAAGGCGTTTCTGCAGATCCTTTGGAAGAGGAAGATCCCGTTGTTCGGGGAACCGGAATCGAGATGGGAGGTGGAGCAAGAGCACTTGTGGTTCAATAACCGAATCATGTTCAGAGGAAGAAGCCCGTCCGGCGCACAACGTGGGTCGGAGTGTCTGAAGGGGATGCGGCTTGGAGACCTGCTCATCACAAATCCAGACGGGACGATGGTGGTGAAAGACATTAAGAGGCTCAGCAGAGAGATGGGGGGCAAAACTCTGGCTAGATGGGCGCTCAAAGCTTTCCAGGCAGCACCGGCAGAATGGCGCGATCGACTGCTAGCCAAACGGACAGCGAAGGAGATAGCCGAAGCAACGAACCTAATATGCATCGGCGCTGACAGAGCGAAGCGGAAGAACTACTGGAGAATCCTGAAGGTAGATGAGGAGAGGTTGGTGGTGAAGCGTGTGGAGGTGGTGCGGGGGCAAATTATCCCGGCGCCATATGCCAGTCCTTTTGCTGTCAGAGTGGCATGGGCTACGCCGATCAAAGAAGTGGATGGGAGAGTGCTGGGGCCGCTTGGTCACCATCTTACCAGACTGCGGGAGTCGGCGCTCTGCAAAGGAGGAGAACTGATACCACTGAAAACCCTAAGGAAAGCGACTGGGGTGCCAGCCGAGAAACCGAAGCAGCAGGTTAGCTGGGAGGAGGAATACGGAGGGGCAGTCAACTGGGCGAAAGCCATCACATGGTGGTTCCCTCCAGGGCAAGAGAGGTGCTCCTTCGCCTCCACAGCAGGAATCTGCAAGTGGGAGTAAGGCTTCCCTTCCTGGGTGACCTGGCACGCTGCCCTCACTGTGGAGCTGACGAGACAGTGGACCACTGCCTGATGACATGCCAGGAGGTGGGAGGAGTTGTCGGGAAGCTTCAGGCGGCGCTGAAAATGTTTGGGGCCAAGGAGGAAGCGAAAAGCGTGGGGGACCTACTTTTCCGTGACACCAGCACGAAGTCAAGTTTTCCAGAGTTAACGCTGGTTGCAATTACTGTTCATCAGCTATGGCTGGAGAGATGTGGGGCGGTATGTCAGAATCCCAGTCACTAGACCATTGGGATAGAAGGGCTTGTTTGTGTAGCGGGTTTGTGCGCCCATAACCCCCCAGGCGAACGCGCCTGTAACCCCCCGTAGGATCAATCGGGCATCCACAGTGCAGATCTATTGACACCCCCCCACACTGGGAGGCCCAGGACTGAGCACAGCGGCAACGGCCTACATATGCATACACCGGGATTCGAACCCGAGACCGCTATGATACCATGTCAGAATCCCAGTCACTAGACCACTGGGATAAAAGGGTTTGTTTGTGTAGCGGGTTTGTGCGCCCATAACCCCCCAGGCGAACGCGCCTGTAACCCCCCGTAGGATCAATCGGGCATCCACAGTGCATATCTACTGACACGGTCTTCAGGCAGGACATGTTTCAGTACAAAAGGGTGATCAGGAAAACAGTGGCGAATTTCGTCCGGCATGTGAGAGTCTACAGTAAGTGGAAGAGCAAGCAACAGTACAGGACAAACGTGGCATGCAGGGGTGATTGGGGGCACCTGGCGCAGGACGAGGCACGAGCCCTCAGAAATGTCTTCATTGGAGAGAAGGAGTTGACGTGGAAGGAAGACTTCCGTTCGATCTGGGAAGATCCGCGTTCTCGTTTTAAACCACCATAAAAGGATGTGATGGGGGAATAACTGCTAGACGCGTTAGTAGTTAGGTCCTCCATGGAAACAATTACGACTGTGGTTGTATGCTTATATAGTGTACTTCCAAAAAAAAAAAAAAAAAAAAAGGACTACACAGGTGCTCATCTGGGAGTGGATAGACAACCTCGTTACCCAGCGAGGCGTGTAAACACATGGGGTAATACCAAAGGGGGTTTCCCCTATAACCTTTACCTTACCCGGGGCTCGGTGGGTCAATGGCGATTGCAAATGTGCTGTCACCTACCCCCAATCCTACCCCGATCATGCGATCGGTGTGCCCGATCGGAATATCTTAGCGGAAACGGGTCGTCAAGCCCCACGACCTGTTGACGACTTGACGACATGCTGCCCCGGGCAGAAAAAAACTAAACCCCTATCGGATGGCATGCCATCCGAGGGAGGCATCAACCCTAAATCCATGCCTCCCTGTGTTTAGGGTTGATGCCTCCCTGACCAGATGCATGCCCGAATGGGTTTTATTTTTTTTTGCCCACGGGCAGCGAGCTCCCCCGGGCGGACTCGCTTGTCCGCTGAGATATATTCGTCGGTAAATGGCAGCGATCTTGCGATCGATCGATCGAGGGAGGGGACGCGCCCTAAGCAAGGGGATGGGCATGACATTCTGGGGCAGTTGAAAAGAATTGTTGGGTTCCGTTCGGTGCGACGGCGGAACTTCTGAATTCGAGCCGTTTTCAATCATACCTCCAAACAAAGTGGGCCGAGCCAAGTCACACCGAATCCAAGCCACCACACCACACCAATAGGAAACGTGCCCAACGTTTTCGCTTATGGGAGCGCCCGCAATACCAGCGGAAGCGCGTTTGTTCAAGCAAATCGCCTGGCTGGGTATGTGTGCGAGCCAAGGCCTTGTCGACTCGTCGATTGCTGGTTACTTCCTTCGCATTGGTGGTAAACGTCGCCAGCTTCCACGCGGAAGTTATATTGAATCTCTAGGCGCGCTTGACGGCGCGCACTAAAAAAGGAAAATATTTCAACAATGCAACCGCCTGTTTGCACCTTCGTTGTTCCAGCCAGGAACAGTTACCGCCTCCAGCCAGCCCATCACCCACCCAGAGCAACCCAGCCTGTTGTCTGGTTCTTCGGCCATCGCCAACGTTACTCACGGAATCGCCGGTGACTGCGGCAAGAAGAGCAGCAAACATCACTCACAACACGCCTCCCCCTCGGAAGCTAGGCCGCAGCTCGACCCTACGAAATTTGTATGAGGACTTTGCCAACTATAAATGGCCATTTTGAGACAACATCGGTCATGTAGATTAGATTCACGAGTTCAACTAGATTCGCTAAGTTTGCGAGGGCTCACACTTTGTCATGCAGGATCGCTTGTAGCGCCGCCACTCTTGCTGTATTTCCGGCTTCTGACATAGCTCGTTTCCCGTCCAACCCCTGCTTTTTAGGCCTACCTGCTCTCGCGCAGAACGAAATATACCCATTCCTCGTACAAACAGTCTCGATGATAGCTTTTGTAGAAGCAGCTCTCGCGAGGACCGTAATGCACTGTCGGCGGCATCAACGTGACGTGGTGAGTGCTCTCTCCCAGCCATGGCGGCCGAGCACGTCAACTCATTCCGATGTCCCTCCGCTACTGTCACATCCAGCCCTGTGCTCCCGTTCCCGCCCATTCCCTTCCTCATACCTGCTCCGGCTCTCCCTGTCACTCCACTCCCTCACTCCCAAACTCCCCTGCCATCTCCCTCTCACCCAGCACCCGCATCGCGCCGAAATGTCGGGCTCCTCGCCACGGCTCGCGGTCGCACTGCTGCTGCTGATCTGCGCGGTGCCCGCTCCTCCCACCGCCAACGGTACGCTGCACTCTAGCCGCCGCCCGCTCTAACGCTTCCCGCGTAGCCCACTTGCCCATCCGCCCGGCATGGGGTCTCTCTCCGCTTCTCTCGCTTCTGGTTTCAACCTCGTTTTGCCTCTGCTCCACCCATTCCCGCGCCCCCTTCCGCCTTTCCCCAATCCCTCAGCGCAATGGACGTATCTTCCCCGCATATCTTGCGGCGCATGGCTGCCGCGCTCATTCGGCTTCGCTTCCCGCCGCGTCGATCCCGCCGACGCCGACGCCGGCGCGCAACCGCTGTTCCCGCACGCGCAGTCCAAGCTGACGTCATCACTCTCCCTCCGCCCCTGGATGTTCTCCTTCGCCCACTCGCGCTCCTTTCTCCGCACCGCCTCCCGCGCGCCGCCCCCGCCAGCGCCAGATACGCGGGATGCGCCCACCTTTTCCACGCTCACGCTAGAGCGCGACCAGCCGCCCAAACCGCCCAAGTCGCCCAAATCCCCAAAGCCGCCCAAGTCCCCCAAGCCCCCGTCTCCCCCGAAGCCAGGAAAGTCCCCCAAGCTCCCCCCGTCCCCTCCGCCCACCCCTCTTCCGCCGCCGCCGGAGTGGCCATCCACGTACGCGGGCGTCGCGCCGCTCGCGACGGACCCACCGGAAACGCCGCTCTTCGATGTGAAGGAGGGGTTTGGGGCGGTGGGTGACAACGCTACCGACTCGTGGGCCGCGTTCGACGGCGCGTTCCGCGCTGCGTGTGAGAGCGCGAGGGGGAGCGGCGGGCGTGCGATAGTGCGCGTGGGGGAGGGCGCGTTCTTCCTGGCGAAGTCCATCACCGTCAACGGGTCGTGCGGCGCTGGCCTCACGCTGCAGGTACCGCTGTCCTGCTCCCCCGATCTCCTGCTCTCACGCTCCGCCGATCCCCCGCTCTCTCGCTCCCCCGATCCCCCGCGCCCTCCCTTTCCCGCTCCCACGCTTCCCCTGCCCCTATTCCCCCGCTCCCTCGCTCTCTGGCGCCTCCGCTCTCCACTCTCATCGCGCCAAGCGCCCTTGACGACCCACTCACTCTCCAGGCTGCCCCTCACCCCGTGACCTCCATCCTCCTGCATTGCCCCTCACCCACCATCATGTCGCCCCCTTTTTCCTCCCCTCCCACTTGCCCCAAACTTCTCCCGTTCCCAGGTGGACGGCACCATCTACGGGCCGCTCTCCAAGGACGGCTACCCCACGCCCTCACTCTACCTGAACGGCACTATCATTGGTGTCGCCAGCAACGGGCTGTTTCAGTTCCAGGGCATGAAGGGACTGGTGCTGCGCGGGGAGGGGGCGATTGACGGCAACGGGAGGAAGTTCTGGGGGTCCAAGGCGCCCACGCGGCCACACATCATTGCGCTCATCGACTGCCAGTACACCACCATCGATGGGCTGCTGCTGCGGTATGTGTGTATGTATGTGTGCGATTTGCTGTGGCATGCCACCCTCTCCTGCTGCCACCTGTGCGCGCTACTCTCCCTTGCCCTTCCCCCAATCCCCCCTCACCCCTCGCCTCCCCTCGCCCTCGTTCCCCCTTCCCACGCCCCTTCTTCCCCCCTCCAGCAACCCGCCGATGTACCACGTGTTTGGGTACGGCACGGAGGGGCTGTGGATCCGCGGGGTGACGACCAACAGCCCCGAGACGTCCCCCAACACGGACTCGCTCAAGCTGATCGGTGTGCGCCACGCTGTCATCGAGAACTGCACCTTCCACGGGGGGGATGATGACGTGTCACTCGTTGCCAGGGGCGCTCAGAGCGTGGTGAACGTGACGGTCAGGAACCTCATTGCCACGGCCGGGCACGGCATCAGGTGAGCTTTCCGAGTGGGCTCACATAGCACCAGGGGTGTGGAAAGCCTGGTCCAGGCACTCCCCCCTCCACTCTCACTCCCATTCCTTCTCCCTTCCTCTGCCCGTACTGCGCTCTCCCCTTGCAGCATTGGAAGCCTGGGCGCTGGAGGGGCAGTGGCGTGTGTGTCTGATGTGACCTTTAAGGACCTCATAATATCTAACCTCGATAATGGGCTGCGCATCAAGACATGGCAGGGTGGCCTGGGGATGGTGCGCAATGTGCGATACGAGAATGTGTACATGACCAACACTGACAACGCCATCACACTCAACCAGGTGAGACCATGCTTGCTGTGTGCAGCAGCAACTGCAGCAACAGCTGCAGCAGCACCTTTGGAAGGCTTAGTACCATCTATATGATTCTTCTTTGTTGTGCTGTCTCCCTGCCACAGTTCTACTGCGACTCGCACCAGGACTTCTTCTGCGGCATAGCGCCTGACAACGTGGCACTGGTCAACATTACATACTCCAATGTCTATGGCACCACCTCACGGTGAGAGATGCCGCACACACCTTGCCCCACAATGGAAATGCCGACTTGAAGGTCCACCGCTTGATGTCATGTTCCAAACTTGCCATGTACTCGTGTAAAAACGGTGTGAGTATGTTATAACTGTGTGTTGTATGTGTCCGGGTGCAGGTATGGAATGAACATCCGATGCAGTGCGACGGTCCCCTGTGGCGGCATCAAGCTCAACAACGTCAACCTTGTCTCCTCCAAGGGAAGCTCTCTCCGCCCCGTGCTGCTGAATGTGGTCAACAGCCAGGCCACAGGGGTGGTGGCGCCGTTACCGCAAGGCATGGGGTCGTATGCAGGTTGGGGTTCCACCCCACCAACTGCAGCACAAGCTGCAAGTATACAAAAGATGATGGCACAATGTGGGAGCTGATTGCTAGTATCAACCCTGTATTATGCGCAAAGCTTTCCAATATCACAAAATAGGTCTGAACGTTCAGTTCAGAGAGCATTGTTGGGATGGGACTCAGGGCGTGTCCCAAGAAACTCGATTTTAATCATCAGCACTTTACTGCAGTGTTTGTGCATCGCATTTTGTGATGCTTTCTACACGTGCCAAAGAATACCACATTTCCTTTTGCACACAATCATAAGCGAATCGTTGAAAAGAAGCGAACATATCAGTTGCTCTTCGGTGCACACCATTTTCCAGAGACAAATTCACTACTGATGAGTTCAAGACCCTGCCCTCAGCATTGTCGTTTGCGTCACGGCAAATTCGATGTTCCGCGCAACAGCCTGTTCCACTTTACTAGCCTCGCGAGTTAACTTTGCCACCAGGCACCAGCGAGACGGAGGTGGAGGTTAGCGATGGCGTCAGGACCAGAGGACGTAGGCAGGTCGATGATGCCGTTCCTGCAGCGCGCCGATGAGCTGCAGAAGCACGACCCGCTCGTCGCCTACTACTGTGAGAACTCCATTTCAGTGGACTCTAGGCGTGATTCTATCGTACCCCGCGGTGCAGGCATGGGGTGCGACGCTGTCGCTAGACTCGCAACGGGGTTGCAACGTGCGGTTTCTAGGGCGAGTAATATTTGATTCGTGGGGTTCAATGCCAGGACTCAGAAGAAGCAAATGAAAAGAGTGGCGTCGTTTCTTATTTTTCGCAAAGTACAGATTCGTTGCTCGTACGTGAGTGGTGGAAGGGGTTGGTGGGAGGATTTCAATCGCAACTAGGGGAATCAAGGACGAGTTGACGTGGCGCATGATTCGGTGTGCATGGATGGGTGGCATGGGCATGTGTGCATGGGCATGTGGGCATGGGCATGTGTGCATGGGGCATGGCCATGGGCATGGGGCATGGGGCATGGGGCATGGGGCATGGGGCATGAAGCATGGGGCATGGGGCATGGGGCATGGGGCATGGGGCATGGGGTATGGGGTATGGGGCATGGGTGGGGGAGCAGGTCGGCTGTACGCGACGGACAAGGGGCTGAAAGTGTCGAGCAAGGAGAGGGGCAAGGACACCAACGACCTGCTGCTCTCGCTGCTCTCCCGCCTCGAGAAGGTTGGTGTCATGCCGGGTCGCAGGACGATTGTTGCCATGCAATGAGGGTATAGCACACGTTCACCATGGCTATGCGTGTTTGATTCTGTCCGTCTCCCCATGCACGGAATCATGCAATGTAGGAAGTGCTCCACCTCCTGCTATCCCCACCCTCGCTCGCACAGCCCTGTAGTTCGGACCCTCCACTGCCGCTCGTCCTCACACCTCCCGTCTTTCTCCCCCGCATCTCTTGCCCACCCATTCCCCCCCTTCGCACATGTGCCCCTCGCACGCCCTTACCCCTCCCCTGGGCAGGACAAGGCGGAGGTGCAGCTGAGCCCCGAGGACAGCCTGCACGTGGAGGGCTTTGCAGAGCGCGTCTTTGCCAAGGCGGACAAGCAGGACCGAGCGGGCCAGGCCGACATGTACGCCTCTCTACCCTCGCTCGCTCCAAGCCTGTGTATCCTTGTGTGCGTCTTTCTTTGCATCTCCTATACCTTCCACCACCTCTCATTTCCCCTTTCTTCCCCCTCTTCCACCCCCCTCTCCGGCTCCCCCTCACAACCCCCCTCCCCATCGCTGTTGCCCCTCAACCCATCAGCTCAACAGCCAAGACGTTCTATGCGGCGGGGCTGTTCTTCGACGTCATGCGCCAGTTCGGCGAGCTGCCTCCTGACGTGCGCATCCCCTGCCATCGCACTGCTCTTTGCCACGCCACTGCTGTATTGCTGTAGTACAGCTTAAGCTCATATAACCGCTCATGCCGCATGTGGTGATTCTTGCTCTTCCTCCCATCCCCCTTCCTCTCATTCCAAAGGGCATCCTCCCCACTCCTTCCGTTCCCCATTCCATCCAACCCCCTCTTCCCACGCCGTCCTCCCCTCCTTCCTTCCTCCCTACCCCCTCCGTGCACTCTCCATTCCCCCGTCCCCACTCCAACCCCCCCCGTGGGCAGGTGGAGCAGAAGTAGCGGTATGCGGCATGGAAGGCAGCGGACATTCGTAGGGCATTGGCAGAGGGTCGTCAGCCCACGCCCGGCCCGCCCCCTGCTGACTCTGCTGGTGCTGCAGCCCTGCTCTCCGCACCTGCTGGCGCCTCTCCCACTGCCCCTGCTGCTGCCCCGGATAGTGCTGGCGGGGCTGGTAATGCAGGCCAGGTGAGGAGATGGGGGAGAAGGAGGCCAGGTGAGGAGATGGGGGAGAAGGAGGCCAGGTGAGGAGATGGGGGAGAAGGAGGCCAGGTGAGGAGATGGGGGAGAAGGAGGACAGGTGAGGAGATGGGGGAGAAGGAGGCCAGGTGAGGAGATGGGGGAGAAGGAGGCCAGGTGAGGAGATGGGGTTCTGTGTGATGCTTTTCATGGGTTCTGCTTTGTGTGTGTCATGCTTTTCATGGGTGTGTGATGCTTTTCATGGGTGTGGGATGCTTTTCATGGGTGTGTGATGCTTTTCATGGGTTTTTCTTTGCGTGTGTGATGCCTTTCATGGGTTCTGCTTTGCACATGTGATGCAGTTTGCTGGGTATCACTTCTTCGCTTATTCTATCTGTGTGCCATGCAGCACGTTCTCTGCACACATCATCCTCGTTCACACCACCCTGTCACATACCCTACTCCATGCACACCCCTCTCCCCCCCAGCAGCACGACATCCTGGGTTTGCCCGTGCCACCCTCTGTGCAGCCTCTGCGCCCTGACCACAGCGGAGCAGCGCCAGGGGGGGGTGGGGCCACAGCAGCAGGGGGAGGGGGAGGTGTGGGGGGAGGATGGGCACAGGGCGGCGGCCAGCAGGGGCCAGGGGTGGGGCGACCCCATGGGGGCGGTGCTGGTGAGCTCGCTGCCCCCAAGGGCTGCCTCACTGCCCTTTTGTGCCACCATGCTCTCCCTGCTCTTGCATCCATCTTGAGATTCTCCCAGTCACTCAATTTACTGCACTTATTCTTTTTGCTCGTAGTTCCCCCCTCTCTCAACCTTCACGCGTTGACATGCGCATCCTCGCTTCTCTCCCCCATTGCGACATGCTCGTTGTTCCAGCGACAACATCGTCCATCGGCCCTGCAGGCATGGGCGCACCAAGAGCAGCAGCGGCTGCCCCGTCGTCCTTCTCAGCCCCCCTGCCTGCTGCATCACAGCCCACTGCCACTGCCACCGCAGGCACTGCTGCAGGCACAGCCACAGGCACTAGCACAGGCTCGACCCAAGGCACGGGCACGGGCACGGGCATGGGAATGGGCGGGCAGGCTCCCCCAGCGGGCAAGGTGGGGGACGCCCACCGCGCTGCACGCTTTGCTGTGAGTGCACTGGCCTTCGACGACGTCCCCGCTGCTTTAGACTACCTCAAACAGGCCCTGCGGTTGCTGGACGGGATGTAACAAGGGTTCTGGAAATTTTATATTTTTTTTAAAGAGTGTTTTTTAAAATTGTGTATTGTGAAAGCGAAGCTGCTTGTATTGCACAATTGGCATCGTCGAAGCACGCTAAACGCCCTTCTCCAACTACAAAAACCGTGGGTTGGAGCTCATTTCCCTCCACCCACGTTTCTCTATTTTCAAACGGCTCACTCAACATTTCCGCTCACGTAGTTTATCCCCCCGTCCAAGCTGGCTAGGACAAAATCGCTTCCTAGAGGCGAGTCACCCTCGACTTTACTCAGCGACATTTTTAACTTCAAGCGAACGGGCAGAAGATGGACCGCCCGCCCCGACTGCAGTGGACGTGCTGCTGGGCGGGCTCGAGGTCAGCAAAGCGGCCGACGCCCAGCAGCACTCTTCGGCGCCTGTGGCGCCAGTGGCACCTGCGGCGCAAGTGGCGACGGCTGCTGGCGCGGCACACGCCACCGACGTCGAGCATACGCCAGCACCCGCGGCTGGACTGTCGCGTCAGCGCCAGAGGAGGCGGACGGCGGTCTCCTCGTCTGACGCGACGACCGCCCCTGCGTTGACGCAAGCGTTGACCCCGGACCAGGTCAACGCGCTGCTATCCCTTCTACAGCAGCAGCCCGTCAGCGTTACAGCCGCGGAAACTGCACTACCCGCTGCATCTGCGTCGGCTAAAAAAGAAAATGCGAAAAGAGAAAAAGGCACGTGAGGAGCAAGGACGAATCGGCACGACAACGACGCAACGACAGCAGCGCCCCCTGCTCCAGCGGCCGACAACGACACCGGCGAATCTGAAGATGAAGCCGGTGAGGCTCCAGTCAAAAATGTTAATTTTAATGGCACGGAACACCTTCCCCCCCTCCCTTCTTCTAACCTCACATTTTCGGCGGCGACATTCGTCAACGATTCCGTGCGAGAGCAAGCGGAGCTGCTGGAGGACTTGCGCGCGTACCTGCTGCACGCGGAATACAAGGCGCAGCGCGGGGACCCGGCGAGCGGACTAGAACTCATCTCGCACGCTCTCAACCTCATCTCGGGGCGTTTCGAGGTGCTTCAAGTGGAGGACGCCTCCGACTTCCGCACGGCGAAGCGCTTCAAGTTGTACCAGCAGAAGAGCCTGCTGATTTCTCGACCCTTCAAGCAGGCGGTCGCGGACATGGCGGCGATGGACCGGGTGGCAAGCGGATACGCTCGTGTCAACCGCGGCGGAAACAACGCGCCGATGCCGTTCTTAACCAAGCAAGGCCCCCCGCCCACTGCCAATTGCCGTGGGTTTCGGGGCTCGTGCTTCTGCTGCGGCCAGCCAGGCCACGTGGCAAGTGCTTGCCCTAGGAACGGGCATGGCGGCCAAGGACCCGCTCCGGTGGTGTAGGAGCGGGCCATGGGACTAGGCGCTTGCGCGCTAGGCACGGTGCACTCTTGAGTGCGAAAACTGTGGGCAACCCTAGGGGTTTGCGATGGCAAGAGGCCAGCCCTAATGAAGGGTAGGAATAGGCTTTGGGCCTAGGATAGGGAAGGGGAACAACAACCCCCTCGGTCCCATGTAGTTGGCCACTCGGTGGCGTGATGCATGCTAGGAAAGCATTGCTATGTGTGTTGGTTGATTAAAAATAAATAAATAAAAAATCCTTCTCAAAAGCCCACTGACTTTGGCAAAGTGCCTCTAAAATAATCAAGAGGAGGTGCATAGCAAGAGAAAGAGAGAGAGAGAGAGAGAGAGAGAGAGAGAGAGAGAGAGAGAGAGAGAGAGAGAGAGAGAGAGAGAGAGAGAGAGAGAGAGAGAGAGAGAGAGAGAACGAGAGATAACAAGATCAAGCACGATGGATAAGTGTGTCCATGCTCCTAGGCATCAACCTCCATGCTCGAAGGGCAGGTCCTATCGATTGGACGAGGAGGCGAGGCAAAAAAAAAAAAACAAAAAAAAAGGCCAGCCAAGGAGTTATATTGGAAGCAAAAAAAAAAAAAAAAAAAAAAAAAAAACCAAGGGTGTGACAACCACTCACTTATCATGAGCACGCAACCCACGGTGCGTTACAAAAAAAAAAAAAAAAAAAAAAAAAAAAGGAGGTTTTTTGCGAGGAGAGAAACAAGAAGCGCAGGCGCGTACCCGACATACTCGTTGACATTTCGATAGATTGTCGATGTTGTTCACATCTTCATAAATGGTTGCTCGTACATGCACACGGATGCTTTGAAATGAAACACCCAACGATCACCCCATTTTGCCTCCACTACACAGGAGCACGACGGCGCGAGGTGGTATGCTATGACGATCCGTATGAATTCGCCGTTACGGACAAAACTATTACACAGATGCGAGGTCGGCTTCGTGCGACCTTTGCGTGGTGGAGTTCATGGTGACCCTGCAGCCTTGTTCTCTCCGTCATCGCCAAAAGCTACTGGTTGCCATGGAGCCACAGCCCACCACAGCCCTTCCACGATCGCAACCATGTCGGGGCAAACACGCATGCCACGTTCACACGTACCGCCCTCCAAGAACTCATAGAGACCGGAGCAGCAGTCCCGATGCCCGCAACGGAGCTTACGTGCATAATTCCACTCAACGTGGTCGAGCAAAGAGACAAATGCAGACTCATTCTTCACCTGAGGAAAGTCAACGCCAACTTGATTGTCCCCAAGTTCAAGTACGAGGGGCTCAGCCGTGTGGCGGACCTGGCACGCGTTGGGGACTGGATGCTCTCCATCGACCTTAAGTCTGGATACCACCACATCGACATCCACCCATCATGCTGGAAGTTCCTTGGCTTCGAATTCGACAAGCGCACATACGCATTCCGTTCACTGCCATTTGGCCTCGCGACAGCTCCATTCGTTTTCACGCAGCTGATCAAACAGCTAGCTCGGCGTTGGCGAGAACAAGGCATGGGAGTCATACCTTACGTGGACGACATTTTATTTCTATGCCAGTCGAAAGCCCATGCGCAAGCAATCTGCCAGCGGGTGATATTGGACCTTAAAGAGGCAGGACTTGTGATAAACGCGAAGAAATCGCAGCTGTCACCATCACAACGCCTCCGATTCTTGGGTGTAGAACTTGAGACAGACACCGGCCGATTCTCCATCGGTCCCGACCGACGAGCCTCGCTACATTCAACCATCCAGAACCTCCTGAGCACAAGCAATGCGTGCCGACCAGTCCCGGTCCGCCACGTGGCCAGAATCACAGGCATGCTCGCATCAATGGGTGTCGCACTCGGCGCGACCGCTCGTGCATTCAGCCACTGTCAAACTTAAATGCTATAGTCTATCTAGGCTGTAGTGGGGTAGTTCATATAGGGTACAACACTTTTAGGTTTCCTACTTGTACCCACCTGCTTGCTAGTTCAGTCATTCACTCGTTCACTATTCTAACATGGTATTCTGAGCAGGTTGCCTAGTGGGAACGTTTTTTTTTAGGGCCCACCACGAAATTTTTCCTGCCTTGCCCAAAGCGCGCCTCGCGCCCTGCCCGAAGCGCGCCTCGCGCCCTGCCCTAGTACGGCCCGTCGCGGCCCTGCCTTCGCTGGCCCGTCGCGACCCTGCCTTCGCTGGCCCATCGCGGCCCTGCCTTAGCCGCCCATCGCTGGCCCGTCGCCGCCCGTCGCTGGCCCGTCGCCACGCGTCGCAGCCCTGCCTTAGCTGCCCACTGCGGCCCTGTCCTGCCTTTCGCCGCCCGTCGCTGGCCAGTCCCGGCCCAACCCGGCCCGTTGCCGGTCCGTCCCGGCCCGTTGCCGCCCGTCGCCGGCCCGTCGCCGCCCGTCGCTGGCCCATCCCAGTCGCGGCCCTGCCTTCGCCGCCCGTCGCGGCCTCTGCCCTGCAGCCGCCCTGTCGCGGCCTCTGCCCTGCAGCCGCCCTGTCGCGGCCCTGCACTGCTGCCGCCCCGGTCGCGGCCCTGCCCTGCAGCCGCCCCTGTCGCGGCCCTGTCCTGCTGCCGCCCCAGTCGCGGCCCTGCCTTAGCCGCCCGTTGCGGCCCTGCCCTATTGCCGCCCCAGTCGCGGCCTCTGCCCTGCAGCCGCCCTGTCGCGGCCCTGCCCTACTGCCGCCCCAGTCGCGGCTCTTCCCTGCAGCCGCCCCTGTCGCGGCCCTGCCCTGCTGCCGCCCCGGTCGCGGCCCTGACCTAAACCGCCAGCTGCGGCCCTGCCCTGCACCCGCCCCTGGTAAGCACCCGCGCCGCCCTGCCGCGCCGCGCCGCCTGCTACCGTGCCGCACCGCCAGGAACCAAGCCGCGCCGCCCTGCTGAGCCGCGCTGCCCTTCTGCTTGCACTGCTTCTGCTGCCACTGCTGCTACTGCTGCTACTGCTGCTACTGTTACTATGGCTAGCCCTACTGTTCTCACCTTTGATGCTGAGGGGCGTGCTGTTGACTTTGACATGTGGATTGACGACTTGCAGCTCTTTCTTCAGTGTGACTCTAGGGATGGGGTATCCCTGTTTGATCACACGTCCGGTGTCTCTACTGCACCTGCTGCCACTGCTGACAGTACGGTTCGCTCGCAGTGGACCACTCGTGACGCTGTTGCTCGCCTTGCTGTTTGTAGTCACCTGCCGTCTGCTGAGCGTGCGCATTTTGGCCAGTACAAGACTGCTAAGTCTTTGTACGACGCTGTAGTAGCGCGCTACTCCTCCCCTGCCACTGCTGCCCTCAGCCGCCTCATGCTGCCGTACCTTTTCCCTGACCTTGCTGCCTTTGCCAGTGTCGCTGACCTCATTACCCACCTCGGCACTAGTGACGCCCGCTATCGCGCTGCGCTTCCCACTGAGTTCTTTGCCAAGAACCCCCCCCCCCATGTACGTCACCCTTTACTACCTAGTCACCCCCCTCCCTGACTCCCTTGCTTCAGTCAGGGACCACTTTCTCTCCCTTTGCCCCACCGAGCTCACTGTCGACCTGCTAGAGGAGCGCCTCACTACGGCTGAGAAGAGTATCTTAGCTGTAGGTGCTTCTCGCGGTGACCGTCGCACCCCTTTCTTTGAGGGGTGTTCCCCTTTCCCCCT